TTTTCTGAAAATGATTACACATCTGTTCAATAAAGTATCAAATCTCCTATTAATACTTGTTGCACACTGGTCCACTTCTTGTTACGCCAATGATTACAAACACTTTTTTGTTTGTAAGTGAAGAAGAAATTATGCAGTTATTGAATTGATTTAAATTTTTATAAAGAAACTAATGTACCAAGTTCTGACTTCATTTTCATTCTCGAAACAATCTGATCAATACTTGCATTACACTCATTGATATATCGATATTATTTTAATAATATTATAATAAATATTGAGTAAAGTTTATAAAACATAAATGAATACGTTAATTATAATAATGTAAATGTAAAATTGATTTTTAATTTCGAATCATGAATATGCATAGCACGTGCTGAACGATAAAAATATCAATTCTCTGACAGAAATTTAAAAAGACATAAAAAAAAATAAAAACGTAGGAATTTAAGTTGCATGCTGCGAGAGTGTGAAAAATGCTACGCGAAAATGATTAAGAGTCCCAAGTGCATTTGCGTAGTTTATTTACATCGAGACAGGAAAAACAGTCTCACAGACTTGAGACTGAAGTAAATACTTATGTCGTATGCAAAACATGCATCAAATATACAATGTCATTATTAAATATATGTAGCATACGAGATCTTGAATCACATTTTTTATTAATGATACGCAATTCCATATTAGATTAGAATATTATACAATATGAATATATAATATTATTCTGAGATTTCTGTTTTGCTAATTTAATCTGCTAATATCCATTAATCGACAAGTTCAAATAAATTTAAAATTGTTTACGAAATATTTCCAGGTCGTATTCAATTAACAATATGGAAAATATATTTGTGGTAAACAATCTTTATGTTGAAGAAATAACTAACTTATGGCAATAAAATATATTTTTTTATTCATATACTATAAAATAAATTAGCGATTTAAAATATAAAGTTCTTCCTATTGCAGTCGTACTTCGATTGAGGAATAGGAAGCGTTCGACGAAATTACTTTGTTGAGCGAAATTTCAGTTTCAGAGTAAAAATTCTATGCCTAGAAAAAAGAAAAGCTGTATTAAATAAACAGTAAACTGACAATTGTCCATACGGAGTTATTGCATTTAATAATAAATCGTTTTCAATGCCATTTAAGAACCTTCCAAAATCATTGGTTGTTAACTCTTTTTCGGCAGAAACTTTTATAAATGTATCTTCTTCTTTTTCTATGTTTAACAAATTTTGCTTAATCTTCCATTGAAAAACAATAATCTTCAGCATTCAATAAATTTATAACATCCCTTTCATCGACATTTTTTTAAACCTATTAATTTAGCTATATGGATAACTTAATTTCAAATTTCTAGGATGTTACAAAACAATAAATTGGAATATATTTTTATGTTAAACGGGGCTTGAAATTGTGGACTTCGCTATATCGAAGATTCGTTATCAAAGGTATAGTTAACCGAGATATGACCACACTCATAAATAGCATTATATGTATATAATGCAGATAATCATTCAAGTGAATGAGAACTTTATAAATTCAAAAAATTAACAAATAATCACACAACAGCACCTTACTGTACTTTAAGTCAGCGTTTCTCATCTTATGAACCAAAATTGGATCGCGATATTTTTTAATGGATCTCAAAATAACAGCTGTAATGGTATGTCAAAGCTAGGAACTGGTGAGAAACTGTTGAGACGCAGAAACAAATGCAAGAAGGTTTAGAAACGCAGTTTTAAAGTATGTATCTTGTAATTATTAATGGGAATATCTTCAAACACACATATTTACAAAGAATACCTCGCATAGTGTGTCTTGAACAAAATAAATAAATTCTAAAAAAATAATACACCCAATTATTTTTATATAATATACATTTAAATATTAGATAAATTATCCTTTGCTTTTCGTCTATACAGACAATTCTGATATTGTGCTGTTTATTATGCGATTTGATAAGTCCTCGATTAGTAAGGTTTCAAATAGTGCGGTGTATTAGCGGGGCCGATATATATTTTGTGTTATTAATATATTTTGATAAACGATATGCTCAAAACATACTAAATCATGGGAAATTGTTGATTATTTATATTTGTGATTTGGGAAATCCCTGGTAGTATTTTCCAAAATAAATTTACAACACAATTACTCGTGCTCGTATATAAATTTTAAAAAAAATAAATATTTTATGTCGATTACTATTAACAAATTATGTACAGTCGATAAAATGCAGACACATAAGACATGCAATTAGTACTTTGCACGTTCGAACGTAATAGAGTTTAAGCAATATAAACAAAACAGTCATCGAGAATTGGGCCAGGGCCGAACTCATACAAAAATTCGACTCCGATACAAACGTATACCTGCCCAACCGCGTTGTTTTTATTTTCAATCTCCCAATGTATTTATAGAAACGTAGAAGCCGATGTTGTTTATTTTTGTTTTTATTTGCGTTTTACGTTTTATTTATTTCTTTATTTATTAAATAATGATTTGGACCTTGACCATGGAAGAAAAATAAATTTAACACGCCGCGGAAACATGATTTCTTTGATTAGTAGTCTAGAATCATATATGTCCCACTACTGCGACTCATTCAATTACATTAATTCTTCGTCTGGAAAATAGTGCAACAAAGTTAATATTTCCGAACTTGTTCCGTAATAAACCGAAAGAAATAACATAATAAAACTATTAATTGTAAACAACAATAGAATTATCGTAAAACTTTGTAATTTCTTTCAAATTGCAATGCGGATTGTGACTTATCTTACGAGTTTCTTTAAACAATGATATCGAATTGTTAATGCATTCTTGGTACGTAAATCACGTAATGCTTCATATCGTCACATGCATTGTTTTCGTAAAACTATTCTTAAATGTCAACAAATTATTTACCTGCAATGATCATAATCATTATTACTGAAAGTAATCACTGTATGAATATCCATTTAATAATATCTTTCCTTTTAGAATATTGACTATCTTTTATAAGAAAACATATTCAGTTTTAATAACAGTTTAATGCATTAACAAATAACAATAAACATGTACACTGTTCTTTGATATAAATAATTAATTATAACAAATACGAAATAACTTTAATATATTACCAGACCTGGCAAAATTATTTGTTATATCCTGTGTTTACTAAAAATTAAAATGTGCACGCAGTAGTCAAATCGTATCTTAATCACTCACATCGGTTCGAATTTTCATTATTTCAAAGATACCTATACCATCTGCAATATTTTCAGTAATGATATATTAATTCAACTGAAATAAATTATAATTATCTTATTGATGTATAAAGCTATAGAGTAGTATTTAGAGTAGAATTACAAATTTATGTGTAACATCGGCATGGATGTAAAATCAGGTGCACTTTTAAAGCTTCTACAGTCAACTGAACGGAAATATTAATATTTAAATCAATAAGACTTTTTCAGACACAATATTTAAATTGATAGAATCGCTCAACCATATGTAATAGACAGTTCAATAGACGTACAATTGAAGAAATTTCAATTTACATGTCAAAAAATATATAATAGTGCAGACGTATGAAGAGGTAAAGTATTTGAAATTGAATAATTTTAAAATTGCTATAAGATTTTGTATGGATTTTTTTTTGTATGTGTATTATTGACTATGTCCAACTATAAATTTACCTTAGAAAAATAAATGGTGCCCGCAGCCCGACCGGAGTTCTACAATGTGCTCTTGAGTGCAAAAAGGTTGGGGACCCCTGCACTACAGTATTTAATAGATATTTTCAGAAATCTCAACTCTGTAGTAATTCTTCTAAATGGAAACAATAATTAAAATTACTGCAACCAACAAAAGAATTTTCCAGAAAAGAAAATCCAAGAATCTGTTTATTATTATATGTGTACTTATTATTAGTTTACAGAGTTGTGCCTCGATTATAGGAGTTTCAGAAACCGGGCATCAGATATATAATAATTTTATAACTGGCTCAATAATTGTAGTTTGCAAACCGAAATTCTACATTCTTCGGAGGTTATTTGGTCACGGACCAAAAAGTTTGAGAATCACTGATTTATACTGTGGTGCTCATTATTTTCGTTAAAATTCTCTAATTTTCTAGGGCTAAAGGGTATTCTCTACCGCTAATATTTTAATTTCCAGGAACTATTACCAACGGAATTACAGAGGGGATTTTATTACTTTTGTTTTATTACTTATTCTGTGTATCCGGCCGGCGTTAGACTTTTTTGTACCAAGATTTGAAGTTCCTCTAATGTTACGAAACATTACCTATACAACCCAACATACACTTAATATAATTATTGCGGAGAATTGTTTCCCCAATAAGCGAGAAATCGAGAAAGTAACTAAATACAAAAATAGACCATAAAAGGAAAAAAAATATCACTGATTTTATACAATTAAAATTACTTTATTTTGAAAATTTCAAACCGGAATATTGTCAGGACCGCATTTTATATGGCCATGCGCTTTATATTTTTCATGGTGCAATTTTAATGTAATAATTTGTTTATAATAAATAATTTATTTAAAAATGTTTTTCTTGCCTCGCGTATTGAATATATTGAAATAGGCCACGCAAAAGGTTACATGACTCTGAACTGACTCCGAACTGATCGAACATATTTACAGTAACCAATGTCACAATTGGCAAGGTGTAATGGCAAATTCTATACCTCCACAGTGTTAGACCTCGTGTCAGTAATATACCATGGAGAACCAATAATTATTCTTAAGAACTTGTACTGGAATCGTTTTACAATGACAATGTTTGACCAACTGCTGGTTCCCCACAACTGTATTCTGTGGATCAGAGAGATTCTAAAATTACCTTACACATCAGTAATTTGCGTATTTCTGTCGGTCCGATAAATTTGTTTTCTTTTAAAATTGCTATCGTGCCTGTGCTATCCAGTATAGTTTACTGAACTTAATTTCAAGTTGTTCTCTTTTTGCTTGTATGTAAACATCTTCAAGATTACATCGATGAAATTTGAAAATATAAAAGTTATTTTATATAAATACATGAAAATGTGTAATGTTAATTTAAATAAATTCACATATGTGTAGAAATATGATATTATTTAATTATTTTGAAAAAATGTAGACTGGTATGAAAGCCGCAAAATAATATCATATATATGTCAACTGATCATTTTTCCGAAACGTGCTGGGCTTATTTGCACTTGTCAACTTCTGTATATTGATGCTCTGCGATTCCACTATTTCCTTTCACTGTGAATCTGCTGCTATCTTTAACACTGTCATTGTCCGTCGACTTGGCTGAAGGTCCATATGCTGAACCGCATTCATTTCACTGTCCATCTGTGATGAACGATGGCTCTATTGCTGCAAGCACCAAGTGGGCTCACAAAGGGCCTGGCTTTTTACCAGGATTCGAACCGTCGCCGCCTTAACCATTCGGCTGTTAGTCGCCCTTTTTCCCTGATATAAACATAATTGTAAATTATATCTCATGACTGATGACATATAGCGATATTATGTTTTGTGTACACACTGACCAATTGATCAGTGTTGTAAATACTTATACATGAGTGTTTGCAATTGTCCATTTATTATGAGATCATACTACGTTCATAAATTATATAAACGAAATTGTTAAATATTTATTAATCATAACAAACGCTTCCTATATTTTTTATTTTTGTGTTTACTATTCATTGAATATATGATTACTTAATTACAGATATTTATCTATATTTTAAAATATTTTAAGCGCATGCATTAAGGTTGTCATCTTGGTGTACTTAATTTATCTAGAAGGGTGTAAATTGACATGACATTTTTTAAAAGCTACAAAATATCAATAATATTATCAAAAATAGGTGTTCTTGAGGTATTCACTTACCTTCATATACGAAACCAAATTGAGATCATACATTTTTCCAATTGTCAATCTATCAATTCTTTGAGATCTTTGTATAACGAAAGCTAGCGATTTTCTAATTTTTGTTTCTCCTTTCATCCACCAATCAATTTCATAAACTGCATTCGATACGCTTACTACCTGAAAGAGCTGGTCAAATTATTACGTAATATTTAAAATCAGCTTGTTTTACTTGAGTATTCAGAATTGCGCCGCTCATACAATACAATCCGAATTGTATCAACAAATTCGCGCAGTACGGTCCATATTTCAATAACATGTATCCATCAGGCGGAAAGCTGAAGGACATATAATAATGTAAGTACAAAAATGCACTGAAAAATATGAGTTTACAAACCCGTTTCTTGTTATCATATATAAACTAAATGTAACAGCTACAAGCATAGTCCAATACTTGATGAATAACATGCGCGTGTAGATGCTATTTATCAACTTTATATAACTGAAATAAGCAATTAATGTAAACTAGGGAGACCTTATTATACATATGATTAAATTAATGGATTTTCGTTCAAGTCATTGATATTTTTTTTGTAAACAATTCTTACTTTAAAATGAAGTTATGATGGATGATGACCTCGCGCAAAAATTTATGCTTTTCAGGTCCTCTGTTCTTATAGCTGATCTCGAGAAAAGCGTGTTTGATTAATTCCAGTTGAACATATATTGTCGTGATAAGTCCCATGTATAGGCCGTCGAATCCCATGATCACTGGATACAGCTGAAAGATAATGTGGAATGCTTGGAAGGTCGCCTGCACGACGAAACATTTGTTTTGATGTAAATCGCAAACGTCATAACCGGGAAACGGCAAAATATGTTGTTTCACAATTAACGGTTTAAATGTGAGTATGAATACAGTTGTTAAACTAATGCAGAGATAGCATTTATAAAGCCGGAAAACTCTCGCCATTGGCCTGTCGACTACACGTCGAAAGTTTTCCCCAAACTTATTTGTTGACCAAAAAAGGCTCGCTTGCAACTGGATTACACCGAATATACGGTCTTTATAGTATACAAGACACAGTAACTTTACAAAACACTGAAAATAAACTTTATTAGCAGAAGAAAACGAAGAGCAAAGTAATATAAATGGTTACAAGCATTGTGTTAGGAAGAGCTTCAACCTTTGCTACAGTTTTAACGCCGTTCCAGTTCAAGAGTAACTCCAAACCCGTTATGACCATGACAATGGCATTGCAAACTATTGTGAATCCACTCAGAATCTTGTCAAATAATTCAGTTTTCCTCGGATCAATTCCATTTGTTCGCAACGCCGCTAACGACCACTCGATAAGACCGTACATTATCAACAGGCGTCATTCCACCTTATTCGATTATTATCTATATAATGGATATTTAATTGTACTCGATAATTATTACAAAATAAAAGACGTTATTACAATGGTCACACATAACATGCAGCTTCTCATTTAACATCATTTCGATGTTATAACTGATAAATCTCGTTTATCGCCAATATGTATATACATACATTTATTGCGCTCTTCCATTCAGTCAATGTTAGTCGCAGCAATGATTGTCTACAGAGCAGTAATCCTCTATTGTTTACAAGTAGTGTACGCCAAAAACTTAATGGTAAGCACATCTTTTATATGTATATCATTCTAATTGAAAATAATGTATTTTGTAAGAATTAAAACATTGCAGTTGACTAAACAGCCGTTCATATAACACAATTGCTTATATATAATTGAAAAGCGTGTTGGTGCAAAGGCCGTTGCTTAAATGTTATTTAAATATTTTAAGGTAATAGTTGATTACCGATACGGTAAATAATCATTACAGTGAACTGTAATTAAAAACTCATCAATTTAGTATAAAGAACGTTGCAATGATTATCGAAAAAGAACTTTTAATTGAAGTAAAAAGTGTGGCTTCTATAATTTGTTTATTTGAGTTTAGTAATAGCTTTATAATGGAATAAAAAAGAAATTACACACAAGAAATTACAACATCTTTATTGAATAAGCTTAAATTTCAAATGGCATATACTAAAAATGTAATATAAATTTAGAGAATGTTTTAAAATCAACTAAAAAGCATTATCTGAGAAAAAAATATCAATTGATTTTCGCTACCAAAAATGTTCTTTATTTATTCTCCGCAGAAATATATCATGATATAAATGCATTTAATGAAACTTATAAATAAATTAAAATGTTCATTATATTATAAAAAATAAGCGATAGAACGGTAATTCTAGTTAAACGGAGATAATTTGTTAAAGTAACAACTTTAAACTGTACATGTATTTTTACAAACTCTATTCAAAACTTAACTATATATGTTGTAGGTATACAATTACAAACTAGGGTTTATTCAAAAACTGATTGTTTAAAAAACCTATTTTCGAATTTCAACTTGTCTACAAAACCGGTTTCCAAATTTTCCCCCAAAATTAGAGATAAAAAGATTTTTACAACTTATTTTCTTTTTATTTAACTTTTTACAAAATTTAAAATTATTCCAACAATAATAATAATAATAATTTATTGGCCAAACATCAATACATAAGAAAAAAAGTACATTCTATACATATAAATAAATAAATTCTAACATAAAAAAAAATATATATATTAATAGGCTGGCCAAAGGGCTAACGAGAGGTTCCTAATTCCCCGCAACATAAATTTAAATATAGAATTAATAGGCTGGCCAAAGGGCTAACGACCGAGGTCTTTCCGCCCGCGAACATAAATTTAAATATAGAATTAATACAATATTTTAATAATAATAATAATATATAAATGAACAACAGAAGAACGATGAAAAAAAAAACAGCGGAGTAGGAATAAGTGTGTATCAATCGAGTGACATTAGGTATTGGAATAGGGATAATGTGGGATATTTAAATTTGGGAAGGATATTTGGGTTTCGAGGAACACAGAATTTAGAGAGGGAGGATTGGTTTGTTTGGATTTAAATTTCAAGGAGAGGGACAGGTACCGACAATCCCTTTTAGAAACCTAATAATATCAAATTTAAATATGTTTGGAATTATATGATTTTTTTTTATTAAAATGATGCAAAAGTGATTTAGAGTAGCGTTTTTAAAAGCAGTACAAAACTCCATAAAGAAGTTGGTCATCTCGATAAAAAGTAAATCTACAAGAGTTTTATTTAAATAAGTTATGTCTTTGTTTAATAAACTATATATTTGATGACAAATACATAATATTAATTAATATAAATATGTAATTTTGTTTCATACGTTAAAAATTAGATTCCATTGGTCAACTTGTTTGTTCTTCAAATGATTCACACAATGATATGAAAAAAAATCTGTTTTTATGTCGAAATATTGACGATTGACATTCGCGTCGGCTTGTTACCTACCTCTGATGTAGTATTATAGGAAAAGAATATAAAAAAGTTTCAATATATGAAAAAAGGAACATCATTATAATTTAATGACTATTTCTTTTCGGGTTCCAATGTATTTGTATAGACCAGATGTTCACAAACTTTTTGTGTCGTAGACCCCTTGCCATGTTTTTCGGTTTTGGGTAGACCCCCTACTTACCTGATATTGATTTTTTGTAAATATATTATTTATATTGGGACATCTTTATAATTATTAAGATCTTTACTCTGAGACTGCGCGTATGCTTCTAACAAGATAATACTGGTATACTGGCATTATGTTCAGGTTTTTACAAGTTCAAAATGTATTGAGACCACACAGCGAATGCCTACATCCTACAACTTACACAATTTTATAAACATATATAATATTTTTTTACTTCATAGGTACTTTATAAATAATGTATATGTCTTTATATTATAAGATAGTATAATGTAAGTAAATAGGTACTATCAGTGTATGTTGAGATCCACTATCGTGGACCCCCATTTTCATTTCATGGACCCCCAATTTTTTTTTTCGCTGACGTAGATAGGTACTATCAGTGTATGTTGAGCATCCCTATCGTGGACCCCCAATTTTTTTTTTCGCTAACGTAGACCCCTTGCAGGTTGTCATAGACCCCTGGGGGTCGATATAGACCACTTTGGGAATCACTGATATAGACTCTAGAAAAGTAATGTCTCGCAATTAAAATAATTGTATAATATTTGCTGAAAAGCTGTAACACGTAATTTATTAAAGAAATTAGTGACGATATTGCTATCTTATTAACATTTTTATTCTTTGTAAGTGAGAATCAATTAAAATAATTGGTATTCAAATATACGTTACATTCGATGTTTATATATAAGCTAGTAGTCGCACAAACTAAGCGTATTTGTTATTCCAATGTTCTTAACAATAATTATTCTGACTTTAAGTCTATTGGGTAGAGCGACTGCAGCAACGACGGTACGAACTATACTAATTTATTTATTGCTCGGTTTAGCTTTAATTATATATAACAGCACAAAAAACATATCCATTGATAAGAATCTTAAAGGTAGTGCTATTTTTTTATAGTTTATATTTTTTTATACGTTCTTCTAGGACATAATTTTTAACCTGTTTTTAATCTATTGTTTAAATTTGGCGGCACACTTAAATATAAAACATATAATATAATAACATCATGTTATTATATTTCAATTTTGATATGTACACTTATACTTCTTGGACTGAAAATAATTTAATTAATGATCTTTAAATAATTCGCGGCACACCTAAAATTAGAAAAGTATGACAATTTTATTCGGGTTTATACAAAAACACAAAGAATAAATAAAAACATTATCATTTTTAAGGCAGCTAACAGTAAATCTTATTTGTTTGTTTATTTGATATAAATGATGCAAGAAGAGTACACTATGTCAGCTCTTATTTTCGATACAACTTCGAAGAAATATTTACTAGTATCAGCATATTTCTATGCAGTAAATAAACATTCAAAGCCTTGACTAATTTTATTTTTATTTCTTCTGAAATTCTTATTCAATTATGAGTATATTTAATTCTCTTTTGCATTATCATTTATCATTCATTTTAAATCAGATTTAATGTCTTTTTTTATAATAATATCTGACAGATTTAGAATTTAATATTATGTCATATTATTTAATTTATATTTTATAATTTTTACATATACATTCTTTAAGATTCAAGGAATATATTAAATTAATAATTGATTCTGTAATAGAGAGCATTATTCATTAGTAAAATATAATAAGTAAATTATTTCACTGCACTTAAATATTTGATGAACTTTGATACTAGCAGCAATATACGATTATGATTAAGTAAGTGACCTAAAAAGTAGTGCGATTGTAAACGTCCATCTACTTTTAATATATTTTTCGTATCCGTAACCTTGAATATATATTTATATAATTTATTCCATAATAAAAATATGTATAAGTCAATTGAAAATATAAACTCATGCAACATTCTGGGGCGACTAATAGCCGAATTGTTATGTCGCCCTACCCACGATCGGACGTCGCCAGTTCGAATTCTGGCCTCTTTGTGAGCCCCTTTGGTGCTTGCAGTAATAGGACCATCGTTCATCACAGATGGACAGTGAAATGAATGAGGTTCGGCATATGGACCTTCAGCCAAGTCGATGAACAATGACAATGTTAAGGATAGCAGCAGATTCACAGTGAAAGGAAATAGTGGAATCGCAGAGCATCAATATACTACTGAAGTTAACCTACAAGACAACAGCCAACCAACAAATTAAAAATCTAAGCATCATAATGGTAAACTATCCACCGGGAAAGATTACCTACCTAATGTCAACCGCGATCTAAAATTTACTCAATGTTCATATAAAAAAAATGCAACATTATTTTTTAACAAAACTGGAATGTGCACTTGAAAATTAGTTTCAGATTTTATAATTTGATGAACATGTATGTAACATATTTGTGTACTATTTACGGTTTGAGATGTAAAAGGTACTATGATATATAGTATACAAAACAATTTTTTTACTGCAATATTAGTCTCTGATAATAAGATAACTTACAAAACATAATCAATCATATTATTTCTTTGAAAATAAATTAAAACTCAAATTTATTGGTCAAACATTATGACTTAAGGTTTTTCCGACCATAATTATATATTTTTTTATTAATAATCATTTATATTGTAGAAAGAAATTGTTGAAAGTTATGGTTATCCCATCGAGGAATACAAAGATATCCAAACTCCAAATGGCTATTTTTTGACGTTACATCGTATTCCGTACGGAAGAAAGATGACGGACAAGGTGGATATCAGGGAACCAGTGTTCCTGATGCACGGATTATTCGCTTCTTCTGTTAATTTCGTATTCGCTGGACCAAATATTAGTATTGCTTACCAACTAGCCGATCGCGGATACGACGTCTGGATGGGGAATGCTCGTACCACATCGTATTCAAAGAAACATGCAATTTATGATATTAAATCGTTTGACTTTTGGAATTTTACGTAAGTTGTAAACTGTTTTAGTTTTCATGCGAACGTTGTATTTTGGTGTGTTTAGAATTGATGATTTAGCAGTGAATGATTTGGGTACATCGATTGATTATGTATTGAGGAAAACTAATCGCAAACAGCTAACTTACATGGGTCATTCCCATGGTAACACTATATTTGCTATCTTGTTGAATGAGCGACCAGAGTTCAATGAGAAAATAAAATTATACGTAGGTTTGGCTCCAGCAATGTCTTTCACCGTAATATACCATCCCTGGTTGATGAGTACGTCATATTTCATAGTAAGTATTTGTTATAAAGACCGAACACAACTATAATTTTAATTAATAATAGCCAATTTTCAGAGAGTTAGGAATGTACGAGTTTCCCCCGATGCTTAACAATATAAACGACATGATGTCTTTCCTTTGCCACAACAACGTAGCTGATCCAATATGTATATTTGTCATTGAATTGAGCGTAGGGTCCGAGAAGAGTATGAACAAAGTTTGTATTTAGCAATATACGAAGTCTTCAATACTTATCATTCATTTTAGACCGCAACGAATCCCTTTTTCCAGCACCTTGTGGAAGGAATCAGTTACAAAAATTTCCAGCACTTGGCGCAAATATATTTCTCAGGTTATTATTAGTGTACATTTTATTTTCTAAATGTTAGTATTACATTTTAGATGGAAAATTACGGAAATTCGATTTTGGTATAAATGAGAACATTCGGATATATGGAAAGGCAATACCACCCGATTATGAAATAAATCAAGTTCGTGTACCAACAGCTATTTATTACGCCTATTACGATTGGTTGAATTCAAGAGAGGTATTGTAATTTATTTTATACTAAGACTATAAAATAATTTATATTTACATTATAGGACATTGCAATCGTCGTGAAAGAATTACCTAATATAGTTGATGATTATTTAATTCCTCAAAAAGTTTTCAACCATTTCGACTTTCTTTGGGCAAGAAATATTAAAGAACTACTCTACAACAGAATAATTAATCTTATAGACTCGTATAATAAATAAATATTTATATTAAATTAGTCAATTTAATAGTTTCATCTAATGCAAAAAATCATATTTATTATTGTTTTTAGTATACAATTGCAACTATTATTGACGAATATTATGATTTTTAGGATATGATGAAATGAACTTATATACTCAAATATTATAGTTAATGAAATATATTTTCAACGTACATTTAACTTATACAATTAAAGCAGACCCAAATCCTCTTTGCCCTTACATCAATAGCTTACATAGTTCAGCTTTGATGAGTCCGGATTCACTATAGTTTAAAATTTCAAAATAAACTAAATCTTGATTAGTCCGGTATTGCTGTAATAATTTTACCTTTTTTTCAACTACTGTAATTTGATTGTATTTGCAATCTCTCGTGTCGGAAAGAGTAGGTTATTTTGCAACATAAATAAAAAAGCATTAACCAACAAACACCATTGTACCGGCAACAAATTCACTTGACGTGCTTCTACTTACTGTAGATAAAAGTAAACTGGAATGAAATAATTTACTAAATAAATAAATTTTTGTTTTTAAACATTTTTTAAAATTTTATTGATTATGTGTTATTATTTAGTTCACAAAATAAACAAGGTGTTCCATGAAAATTTCAAGATTACTTTGTAAATCCGTTAAGGTTAAGTTTGGGATACTGCAATATTCGGGATGTTGGCTTTATCCAACTTATACCATTGTAAATACTAAAATCCACTATTATATTAAAATATAATATAATGAAGTAATTTAGAAGTACAATCGATGTATGATTGTATAGTCAGTAATAGATTATAATTACAAGTCTATCTAATTTTATACTAAAATATAATGTAGAAGCAAATTTAGTCATGTTACATAATGGCTGTTAATTATATGTGGAAGAACAACTCATGCTTTATATTCTAATTTATGTTTTGCAATTAGTTTAATTGCAAATTTTAAAGTAAAATCACATTAATCAATTATGATAAATATTCTAATTACATATTGTATAATATATGTTTTTGTTTTGCAAACATATTACAAACTAAATTAAATAATTTAATGAAGCAAAGACTATATGAAAACTCATAATTGAGTCGTATTTGCTCTTACGATGTTCTTATCTACTATCATTCTCAGCTTAATTGGTGCAAATAGGATAGTTGCAGATACCACGGTGGGAATTATATTTTATTTATTAATTTATACAATATTGTATCTGAAAACATTGTAGAAAGAAATCGTGGAAAAATACGGTTACCCTTTCGAAGAATATAAAGATATCCAAAGTCCGGACGGTTATTTATTGACTTTACATCGCATCCTATATGGAAGAACTATGTTGGACAAGACGAATATCAGTAAACCAGTTTTTCTGTTGCACGGAATATTCTCTTCATCAGTCAGTTTCGTTTTCGCTGGACCAAATATTAGTATTGCTTATCAACTGGCCGATCGTGGATACGATGTTTGGTTGGGAAATTGTCGAGGCACATCATATTCAACGAAACACTCTATTCATAGTATTCATTCTTCAGCATTTTGGAATTTTACGTAAGTTGATAAATGTTTTAATTTATTACTTAATAATTTATATTACAGATAACTTACATTGGTTATTCTTTAGGTAATACAATATTAGGAATGTTGTTGTGCCATCGACCGGAGTACAACAAAAAGATCAAGTTATATGTAGGCATAAGCCCTATGTTATCTCTCTCCAAATTATACCATCCCTGGGTAGTCAGTTTGGCATATTTCATAGTAAGTATATATTATAAGTACTAAAATATATTATATTAATATAAAATAGCCGCTCTACAAAGTGTTGGGCATTGACAAGATTCCCCCGATGATCAAAACCATAAATAATGTTATAGCTTTTCTATGTAACATTAATAATAACATCATGGACACACTGTGTATAAATTTAATTCAATTAGTCATCGGATCGGAAAAGTATATAAATAAAGTATGTAAGCAGCAGTGTATCAAATGTCCACTACTTTTTATTAATTTTAGACCGCCGCAGAACCTATCTTTCATAATGCCTTGGAAGAAAGCAGTTTCAAAACTTATGAGCATTTAGCACAAATATATTTTTCTGGTTATTGTTTTTACAAGGTATATTAATTTGTCAATTTAAATATTCAATTGTAGGAGGACAATTAAAGAAATTTGATTATGGTATTAGTGAGAATATTCGAATATATGGTAATGCCCTACCACCAGCTTACGAGATAAACCGAATTATGGTACCTACAGCTATTTATTACGCCAGCTGCGATTGGTTTATCTCTCGAGAAGTATGATTATTGATTTTCATTTTGAACTATAGACTAAATTAGATCTACATTTTAGGATATTGCAATAGTAATGAAACAATTGCCGAACGTAATTGATGATTATTTGGTTCCCGTCGACGTATTCAATCATATAGATTTTATTTGGACAGGAAACATCAAAGAAATACTTTTAAACAGAATTATAAAATTAATTGATTCTTATTATATATAGAATTGACTTAAATATACTTTTCTGTAAATTTTTGTCAGTTTATTAAAATACCAAATATAGTTGATGATTTGTAGAAAATGTTTTTATTATTTTAATTTGTAAATACATTGCAAAATAGTCACTGCAATTCGATCCAACAGTGAATTGAATTCAATAGAACATTGCAAATTATCTTTCATGTATTTAGTATAATAATAAACAAAAACTATCGAGTAGTCAAGGCCCTTCATCTTGCACATAATTTGTTTGGTTAAGTGATTTGGTAATAAATATAGTTGGAAAGTGTATCTCAAAATCTAATCTAATGGTTTTTCCAGTATTCAGAACCTCCATGAACTGCTCATTAAATCCTTCTCTTATGTACACAAAGATTTTTAAACTCATTTACAGAAAAATATTCATTGTCTTAAGTTGTCGACGATTTCTATAGTAGTTGTAGTCAACATCCACGGAAATGTAAAGAAAACATTAGCTATCAATGAAGCTATCAATAGAGTCCATTAATTATTTTGGCAATTTTATATTAGTATTGTATTTATAATTTAGAAAAGTGAAAGGATGAACATTTTAATTATATAACAATAGATTTAGTAAATAAAATACAATGGTTTTTATGTTTTAGCCCTCACCTAGATGTTAAAAAGTTGAAGAACTCTGGTATGTTCAACGGATTACTTTTACTATTTAAAACAAAGAAATGGTTTGGTTGCTCATAACATAAAAGATTTTTAATACGTAATAATTTGGTGGTTTTGTCTATTCATATCTCCTAAGAAAATATACTTTTTTTTAGAAAAATTTTCAAACGCATTATTTGTTTTACAGAAATCTTTCAGGAATTAATCTACTGTATTAATATAATACTAAATAAAGTATATTTAAATTATATGAAAATTTAATGAAACTGTCTGTTGTGCTGTCTTAGATTATAAAATCAATTGAAAACCACACATCCGATAGTAATTTCTACTTGCAGGAATAATTGAATGAACTAAATTTTGAATACAAAATAAATTTTTAAACATTTGGAATTTCCAAATTTTGGAATTAGAAATATAATCGTAAAAAATACTTCTGATAAATATCTCATTATTTTTAGATTATCCTAATTCTTATTTATTATTACCAAAAGCAAATTAAATACAACAGAAAACTGTGAATTGAGATTATTGTTTACTATTTTTACACCTGATATAAAAAGTAATATAAAAAATATACAACAAACGTCGCATTATTCTTTTAAATTATAGTAATAGTGATTATAATTTATGTGATTAATATTTATGTTACATTCAAATAATAATTATATAATAATAATATACAGGGTGGCCCAATTGAACTGTAACCAACTTAAAACTGCTATAACTTTTGAACCGTTGGCAATGTTGTGTTTACAAGCCTGCGAAAGAATTTTCATCTTAGTTTTTTTTGGAAAAAGTTATTAGTGATGGAATTAAAACGTAATATTTGAGCGGAAAACCAAAAATGGCTATTGTTAGGGCCCACGAACACCTTAATGTCTCGAACCAAAACACGTTTTAACAAAGCTAGTAGTGTTACAAAATGCTATTTTGGTGGTCGGCAAAAAACTACATCTGTGGTAGAAGTGGTTTGTAAACTTAAGGCTCGAATTGAATGGATCCGCGACACATTGTAAGACAAATGGCTACTCAGCCAAACATATTGAACAAAAGAAAACTAGGTTCGATAGAGCGATGGAGCGTCTTGTCTGATGAGAAAAATTTCTCAATTGAGAAATTCGTAAACAAACAAAATGATCGAATTTACTTATAATCGAAAATTTAGACATTCTAATGGCCACAAGAAGTCAAGTAGCACCATTTGTGGTAGTTTGGGATGATGTGACGGTCGATAGTCGCAATCCGTTGATGTTTTTGGACCGTGGCGTCAAAGTTAATGCGAATGTCTAATACGAAAAAAATTTGGAAGGTGCTCCGAAGCCATGGAAAACCAAAAATTTCAGACAGAAAGAGTGGACGTTTCAAGAAGATTCTGCATCATCGCACACGAAAACCGACAAAGGCTGAGAGAGAACGTTCCACACATCATTTCGACCGCACAGTGGTCACCCCCACCCCACGGTGAACAGTTGCTAATCCGCACGACTACTCGGTATGAGTTATTTTACAGGCCAACAAAAAATATTTATTATTATTTTACAACACTAAAAAAACAGAGTGTTCAATAAAGCCCTTCTTTGGGAATGGAGGAAGATTCCGCAGGTTCACATTCGTGCAGCGTGTGACTCGCTTGTCAACCAACTCAGAGCTATAGGCTATTTGGCTTATATATTTGCAAAATTATTTAATAAAAATGAAAGTCTATTTATAATTGAAAACATTATTTTTGTTCAAGGGTGGTCGATATGGAAAAAAGGTTGGGAAACTCTGCTTTAGATGAAAAAAAAAATAACTTTAAAACTCTGATAAAAAATAATATTGCGTGTTGTTATTAAACCCACTTAATCAATTATTTAGTGACAATAAAAGAAACATATTCTTAATACATAAATAATCGCATAAGTATTTAGTCATAATATGATTTAAAAACTGATTTGAAGTGAATTTTATTACGCCATAAAACAAAAATAAATTAGTTTGGGCTGTTTAATGAAAATGATAAAAAAACAAAAAAAAACAGTACATGAAATCATTCTCAGAATTACAGTTTAATTAATTTTATAATATAATTGAATTTCAGAAAAGAAAAGAGAATGAAGCAAATTGTAATTATAAATAAACTTATGCAAAGTGACACTATTAATTGATTTTTGTATTCAAACATCGTATAATTATTATTATTGCAAATTGTTTGATTTTTAAATAACAATAGAAAGCAATTAGTATTGTAATTACTTATTCTATTTACTTAGATAATGTTTCATTTAGTATTAGAAACTTCACGTATTCAGACGTATTTTTTGTTCCGATGTTCTTATCAATTGTCGTTCTTAGCTTACTTGCTGCACATGGGATACTTGCAGTTACCACGGTAGTAATTATATTTTCTTATATTCATTTATCTTAATTTAAATGTATTGCAATGTTTCATTATTTACTTTTTATAATAATGTTTATTTTAAAAGTTATATGTAAAAATAAACATTTTTATTCATTAACAATAATGAAAAGTCTTTATGTCCAGTATTTCTTACTATTTTGACCACATGCTTGGACTGAAAAGTATTATTAATTCAATAATAACTACATCCACAAAATTATATTTAATACCATGAATGATAATAAATATATTATTAAAATTTCTAATAATAAAGTTATGAAAGAATATTAACATACTTTCCGACATATTGTTTATAACGATGTAATCAAAATATTATTAATTAATGATTAACTTACAATATAGATTTATATCCAATATTACATTTCGCTCGTTTTACATTTCAATAATTCTATAAGCTAAACCAGTGATTCCCAAAGTGGTCTATATTGACCCCCAGGGGTCTATGACAACCTGCAAGGGGTCTACGCCTACGAAAAAAAAAATTAGGGTCCATGAAATGAAAATCATCGACTTACATTATACTATAAATCCATATACATTATTTATAAAAGTACCTATGAAGTAAAAAAATTATTATATATGTTTATAAAATTGTATAAGTTGTAGGATGTAGGCATTCGCTTTGTGGTCGCAATACATTTTGAACTTGTAAAAACCTGCACATAATGATATACCAGTATCATCTTGTTACGCGTAGTCTCAGAGCAAAGATCTTAATAATTATAAAGATGTCCCAATATAAATAATAAATTTACAAAAAATCAATATCGGGTAAGTAGGGGTCTACCCAAAACCGAAAAACATGGCAAGGGGTCTACAACACAAAAAAGTTTGGGAACCTCTGAGCTAAATGAACCAATAGATTAATTAACTAGTAAAATGCTATTTTCAAGAAATATCAATTAGTCTACGACGCATAAGTTTACATTCATTATTTATATAATTTGTATTCAGCATTATTATAATTATACTTTTAAATTGATCAATTACAAGCTAGAGTTTACAAGATATCATTAATTTATTTGCTTATTCATTGACAGTCACCAACAACTTTTTTCTAAAATGAAAATATTGACGTCAAAGAAAATACTGGAAATCATAGAACAACTCAATTTTGATTAGACCAATATATATTAATGTGTGTCAGACATTTTGCCATCGGTCAATTTTTATTATAAACAAACGTCTGGACTTCAAAATTGTCATGAATTTCGCCTTTTATATTCATCACATTTTATCATTCAATCACAAATGAAACCATTTATTTTGTATTACTTTTAATTCTAGAAAAATCATGTAAGTTACATAATAAGTAAGTTACAGAAAATACCTAGAAGATATTTTAAATAATTTATTTTATGTTTATCTTTATATTTTTTTATATATTTTTGTTGTTGTTAATCATGCCATATTAACAATTTATAAAAAAAAATGTGTTTGCAGAAAGATATCGTGGAAAGCTATGGTTACCCTTTTGAAGAATACAGAGATATTCAAACTCCGGACGGTTATTTCTTGACTTTGCATCGTATTCCTTCNNNNACGACGTGTGGTTGGGGAATTCCCGAAGCACTTCATATTCAAAGAAACATGCGAGTCACGACATCGATTCATTGGCTTTTTGGAACTTTACGTAACTTGATAATTTATTGTAATCAAGTTAAGTTAATGATTTATTTCTGTTTATTTAGCATCGACGATTTAGCTATGAATGATTTGCGTACCACCATCGACTTTGTTTTGGATCAAACTAAAAACAAACAGATAACTTACGTTGGCTATTCTCAAGGCAATACAATATTGGCGATGTTGTTAAGCGATCTACCGGAGTACAACGCAAAGATCAAGTTATATATAGCTTTAGCCCCTATTCTATCTTTCTACACATTCTACCATCCATGGATATTGCCATTTATAAATTTTATTGTAAGTATTATAAATTAACAATTTCTTAATAATTTTAATAAATTATAGCCAATTTTTAATGAGTTCGGCATGTACGAGATTCCTCCAATGGTCAAAACAATAAACGATGTTATCTCTTTTTTTTGCAACAGCAACTGTTATATTATGGAGACACTGTGTATATTTTTAATTGAATCGACTTTCGGATCGGAAAAGTATATAAATAAGGTATACTAACAACAACGTACTAAATTTCCACTACTTATTGTTAATTTTAGACCGCAGCAGAACCTTTGTTAGAAAATATCTTGGAAGGAATCGGTTTAAAAATTTTAGTGCATTTGAAGCAAATACATTATTCTGGTAATCTGTTAATATATATATATATTTACTATATAAATTTCTAAAATTAAATATTGTAGGTGGGAAATTAAGAAAGTTCGATTATGGTATTAATGAGAACATACGGATATACGGTAAGGCTTTACCACCTGATTATGAGATAAACCAAATTTTAGTACCAACAGCTATGTATTATGCGAATTGCGATTGGTTGGTTTCTCGAGAAGTATTGTTATTAATTTTCAATTTGTATTTTATGCTAAATTAAATCTATATTGTAGGATGTTGCAATAGCCAAAAAACAATTGCCGAATATAATTGATGATTATTTGATTCCTATGGAGATTTTCAATCACTTTGATTTCCTTTGGGCGGGAAATATCAAGGAAGTACTCTTAAATAGAATTCTAAAATTAATAGATTCTTACAATAAATAGAATTTATTGAAATTAATCTCCTATTATTATGTCCAAAAATAAAATCTATCAAAATTTACATATTTCTATATGAAATAGTTGATAATAATTGGATTCCGAAAAAACACTTTATTTATTTTTAATAACAAAATTTCAAGAACTTATATGTAGATTGAATAAATACATAATCTCATATATTATAGTTTTATTTTTTTTATGAAATTAAAAAATTATAACTCCGACAACACATTGTAGTATATTTATAAAATCTATTAAACTATTTTTTTCTCAATTATAGGAATATTACCATACGTCATGTCCGGAAAGAAATTTATTGAAAAAAATTGTTCGAATGGAAAAATATTTTAATATTATAGTAATTCAGTTTTTATATATAATTTATATTAAATTATTGAAAAAAAATATACTAGTTTTCCATAGAGAACATTTCAAAGTTTAAGCGAAATTCATTTTGAACGTCTCGTTAAAATAATATATGTATTTTTACAATACAAACCCTACCTAGCTGTTCGTGAAATGATTTAATTTCAATCCTCCCATTTTTCTTTATTCATTCAATATAATATACAGATTATTATAATACGTTTTGTGTATACTTTTCCTAGCAAAGCGAATGGAATATACAAAGATTTTGCAGAAGAAAATACCCAAATTGTTATTTGTTTGAGCCCAATATTCGTGTTAATATGTAGAATCGCGCACAATATCGCTTACTAATCATTGAAACAACAAAATCGTTTAAATGAATATATTATTAATATAGTTGCATTTTTTATTGTCTAACAGCAAAAAAATGAATATCCGAAGGATTAGTTTTTCCATTCGAACAAAATTTCTTTTGAACAAACACACCATATGTCCATACTGGTTTTAGTATTACTCTGTATATTAGTAATTTATTTTCTACTGACAATTACGACCTTTTTACTAATAGCATTTATTTCTAAATGCTCCCTCTTAGCCTGAATGTGGTCTTTCTAGGTTTATTTTAACTTCTGAATATCGTTGTTTGATTGTTTTTCCCCTTGTTTTCTTCTTTTTCGAAAGGGGAAAATTCTTCGAGATGTTTTTGAATAGACATGGCGTGTTTTTTAGAGACATGGTAGCATGTCGAAGATGTTTCGAGTTGTTACATTATTTTTTGTAATCTAGAAAGTCTGGTGTCGAATTCCAATTTATTCTTTGTTAGAGCGCTCAGAGTAATAATGAGAATGGTTCGATGATAAATCTAGGCAGGATTCTGCGGTGAGATATTTTTTGGAAATTACTCTTATTATGCAGAAAACTTTTGAAAATGTTGTTGGTTCACTTGTAGTCAGATAATCAAAGTTATCTTTGCTTACCATTTTCATAAGTTCCCTTCTTGTGGATGTGTTTAATCTCGAGCCCCAGTTTCGATTTTGCATTATAGTCTCCACCCGTAATCTTAGCCTCACACTATTGAAGATGTATTCAAACTCGTCATCTTAAATATTTGCTTCGGAGGGCAGTAGATTCCAGTAGATGGTTATTTGTCCTCTACCATATTGTCTGCAAGTATTCCTGCAAGTATTCCTTTTGGAATACTATCTGGATGTCTCGTATTATAAATCATTTAAATGGGGATTTTCATGAAACTCCTATTTATGTAATGTGTTTCAGATATTAGCATTACGTATATTTTTATATCTATAATAAACGCTTTTATTTCTTGGCTATGCTGATTTAAGCCATTCGTATTCCAAATTACTATTTTAAGGAACATATTATGCATTGAGTTTTATTTTTAGAGTTACTTAATATCTCCAAAATGTTGTTGACTGAATTTTCCAATTTTTACGTGAGTATAATCAAAGTTTTGTTGTCTTCGGTTGTGTGGGTTATATTTGGTTGTCTCTTGTTGCCTGGGCATACGAAACCTTTGGCTGGGCTAAGTGAAATTAGGCGGAAAGCGATCGACTAGATAAAAGTAAAATACAAAGATGATCTAATAGATCAAAATTTCTCAAACTTTTTGGTATGCGACCCAAAAATTTCTTTAAGAGCAAAAGGCTCTTAAAGAAATTTCTGCGACCTCCCGAAGAATGGGTTCGTCATCAATTTTCTACGGCCTCCCAAATATTTTTTGCGACCCCCACTTTCAGAATCACTGTGATAGATGATAATTTAACATTTAATGTTCGTTACTATATTAATAAATATTAGATTAAAATCATTTCCAGTTACCTCATAATCGTTGGTGGTATTTTATTTCATCGAGAGTGGAAGGAATATAATGCGTGGAATATTTGATTATGTTTTACAATTAGTATAATTGTAGATTTTAGAGTAAAATTGCAAACGGAATGTAATTGCATTTTTTATTTTTTTCTATTACAAACTATAAATATAAATTAAACAATTAAACAAAGTCTATGTTATAAATTAACAAACTCACAATTGAGACGTATTTGTTTTTCCAATGTATCGCTTTTGAGAACCTTACTTACAAATAGATTTATTGCAGCCACCACGGTAGAAATTATTTTATTTAGTAATTTAACAAATAATTTATTATAATGTTTTATTGTTATTTTTATATTGTTATATAAATACAACAAATTATTTTGAAACTTAAAAGCAAGAATGCTTGAATAGAAAACTACAATAATTATGGAATGAAGGAAATAACGAAATTACTAATATTGCAATATATAAAATTTGGAAATATAAGAGGTAAATGAAGGAAGTATGATTCGAAATATATCATTTTCCGATAAAAACGTAACTATCCACCAGGAAATATTACCTTCCTAATGTCAACCGCGATGTTAAATTTACTCAATGTTTACATTGATGAACCAATTGCGAATAAAATTACACGACATAAGAAAAATAATCCTTTTATACAACAATTAATGATTGAAAATACTTCATTTACAAGAATTCTTCTTTTTACAAAATAATTATATTTGTTCTACTTATTTGCATTGCTTTTATTTTTGTTATCGATTTTAGAAGTGTTGTTTGTTTGGACTTTGATAATATTATTTCTGCAATTTATTTGGATTGAACGATTTCACAAGGTCGAATTGAAAATATTAAATCTCGTAGAATTTTCACTTATTCATATTTGGTAGTTTGCTTCAATAAATTCCTATATTTTCTCTTCATCAACTTTAACTCGCCTTTCAGAACGTGCATCTTTGATATCGAAATTGTAAGATTGAAATTTCACAAGCCAGTTTTGACACTGCCATTCTATTAATAAATCTTCAGCATACACTTCACATAACTTTTTACTTGCTTAATAGAACTCTTATCATTTTGAAAAACCCAACATTATTTTTGTCTTGTCATACCTTCAATTTTTCAGCAAACCCATTATAATTGGCACATAACGTAGATCATAGATTTTTAAACTTTTTTCGCCTAGCATTTTCTTTTCAGAGAACAATTTTATTTATTATTATAAAATAAATAAACAATAACTACCAAGGAATCACGAAATGAAACTTGTTCATGCTGTGGAATATGACAATTAACAAATACTCACACATATAAATATGCGTATACAATTAATAATAATTATTAATAATTATAAATAAAGTGGTAGATACATTTCAAAGTTCACAGTAATTCAAATCTATTAAAATGAAATTGTATTTAATTCTTTGTATAAAGAAAAAAAATATATATATATAAATGGGAGTAGATACAATCCCGGCACAATATTTTACGATGTTCATTTCAATTACCATTCTAACCTTATTTCTTGTGAATGAAGCAATTCCATCTACCACGGTAATAATTAAATTAATATTCAAAATAGTTGCATCCTAATTAATTGAAAATTACATTAATGATTACTTCTTTAATTAATCATCATGTACTGAATAACAACTAATAAGTTTTATAAAAGTTAAATCATCTGTTTAAATCTGTATTTTACTATAAGAATTTAACATCTTAAATTTACACTTTATACATCCGTAAATAGGTGCACAAATACCTATGCAGCATTTTAATTTAGTTTTATTTTTGTTACTATGTTATCGTATTAAGTTTATATTTTGGTAATTTCTTGCAATAAATATATTATTAAAGTAAAAGCAATGATTAATTTGATATACAAAATAATATTTATTGTAAAAAATAAAATGAAATATTTTCATAAAATAATTAAAATAAAACAAAATGTTAACTGCTGTAAAGGACTGTTGACCATAAGTTTTTCTGCCCTAATTTGATATAATATTTCAAATTTATTTGTAATAATGTTGTAATAACAAAGAATAATAAACTTAATTGATTTAATAACTACGAGTACGTAAATGGGAATACTCGATTCAGTAAAGTTGCATTATAATATTGTTATATTAACTTTGAATTACATTCATAAGTTATTTACATTTTTAGAAAAATATTGTAGAGAGCCATGGTTACCCTTTTGAAGAGTATAAAGATATTCAAACGCCAGACGGCTATCTCCTGACTTTACATCGTATTCCATACGGAAAGAACGTTTCTGATAAAACTGTTGTCAGACCACCTGTGTTTTTGATGCACGGAATATTATGTTCTTCCATTAATTTTGTATTCGCTGGACCGAATATCAGTATCTCTTACCAATTGGCTGATCGTGGATACGATGTTTGGTTGGGTAATTCTCGAAGCACATCGTACTCAAAGAAACACATTCTCTACGACGTTAAATCCTTTGAGTTTTGGAACTTCTCGTATGTCGTTAACTATTTTAGAGGAACTAATGATATATTTTTACTTCTCTAGAATGGACGAACTAGGAGTGAATGATTTGGGCACATCAATTGAGTTTGTTTTAAAGCAAACTAACTGCAAGAAACTCACTTACATTGGCCACTCACACGGAAACACAATATTAGCGATCTTGATTAACGAGCAACCAAAATTCAATGATCAAATTAAATTATACATAGCTTTGGCACCTTCTTTATCTTACAGCACATATTACCATCCTTGGCTAACGAGATTATCATACTTAATTGTAAATATATATCATAAATTCTGAATGCCATAATAATAAATACATAATAGCCGGTCTTTAAGCAATTGGGTTTGTACGAGTTTCCACCGATGCTCAATTACGTAAATAATATAGTGGCATTAATTTGCGATAATAATAATAACATTACGAATACATTATGCATATTGCTTATGGAAATAGCAGTTGGACCCGAGAAGTACATAAATAAAGTTTGTATTTATAATCGAAATTAATCAATAATCATCATTAGCAGTAATTTTAGACTGCTTCCAGACCATTTTTCGAACGGTTATTGGAGGGAATAGGTTATAAAAATTTCGAGCATATATTACAAGTATATTACTCTGGTAATTTATCAAGGAGAAATTTGAACTGCCTTACATTGCTATTAAATTTTAGGTGGAAAATTAAGGAAGTTCGATTTTGGTGTATACGAGAACTTTCGAATATACGGAAATGCTATACCACCTGATTATGAAATAAATAAAATTCACATACCAACAGCTATTTATTACACCAGTCACGATTGGTTTAATTCAAGAGAAGTATATTTTTTTAATTTCAATGTGAACTGCATTTTAAATTTATTTTATTTTATAGGATGTTGAAATAGCCTTAAAAGAAGTACCTAATGTAGTTGATGATTATTTAGTAACGAATGATGTCTTCAATCATTTAGATTTTCTTTGGGCAAGAAACATCAAAGATTTACTCTGCAGTAGAGTAATTAGTCTTATAGACTCATATAATAAAATTGTTTGATTGAAAAATTATTTGTTTTAGTAAGATTATTTAATTTATGGAACAATCAATAAAGATTCTCTACCTTCACTCCTGAAGTTATCAAGAAATAACAGTGTTGTCAAGCACTGTTATTTCAGAAATATGAAATACCTGTACTTCTATGGTCTACTACTTCTCATATCATATGCTTCTCTGAGCACCAGTTGTCGCTTCGATATTTGGAAAGTGTCCTCTTTGCGCGGCTTTGATCGGTGCAGCTAGAACTCACTAGCTACAAGTTTTATAACCACTGCAGGTGTGCCATCTAACACCGGGACATTGATTGCTTTTATGCACTCACGAGCTCTGTCAAATTCTTGCTATGTGAACGGGTCCATTCTTCAGCTGGAAGATTCCTGATTTTCGTGTCGGGGGAATGGCGCTTTTGCAACCTGACATACTCTCTCGGTTAACCCTAGTTTTTTTGGTTTTCAGCTTCCTCTTTATGATTTTGTAATCGTCTTAATTTTTTTCTTGCATCAGACATGCATTCTTTTTCTTAACTCGGTTATCTCCTCTATCCACCAGTAAACCTATCTTCGGTCGTTAGTTTTTTTCCTTGTCATTGCACGCTCCATACGCTCTTGTGCTAGTCTTTATCCAATTATATCATTGATTAAATTCAGAAGACTTATTTTTCGTGTATTCCTATTGCCCATCGCGATGTGACTGCTTGCTAGTGTAATGTAATTACAACATAAAACAATAAATGTTGTTTTTTAAATACATAAATTGAAACTTGTTATAGAAATGGCAATTTGAATATTTTAAACATACACACAAATTAACAATAATAATAAAAGGCACAAATTCCAAAGTACACTGTTGTTTTTACCTGCATAGAAAAAAGTTTATATAAAATGGAGTAAATACAATCTAGGCTCAATACTATTTCGATGTTCATCACAATTACAATTCTAACCTTACTTCTTGTAAATGAATCAATTACATCTACCACGGTAAAAATGGAACTAATTCATGGTTTTCAACTTGTTTCTTATATATACTTACAATATAAATTATTTTAGATCAAATTTTTCATTTGATTGATCTTTTCGCAAATGATTATAAAAATATATATTGTTACGTCTATCAAAAGCATAAAATAATTCACGTGATACAATCTTAAGTTAAACTACATTATAATTTTTTTTTAGAATTTTAATAAACCATATTGTCTAATAGATATTTTTTTTTATTGATTTTGAATTATATTTAAAATTTATTTATATTGTAGAAAAAAATTGTAGAGAGCCATGGTTACCCTTACGAAGAGTATAAAGGTATTAAAACTCCAGACTGTTATTTTCTAACTTTACATCGCATTCCCTATGGAAGGGACGTTTCCAATAAAACTTGTTCCAGGCCACCTGGATTATTTTGTTCTTCCATTAATTTTGTATTCGCTGGACCGAATATCAGTATATCTTACCAATTGGCTGATCGAGGTTACGATGTTTGGTTGGCAAATTCTCGAAGCACATCGTACTCAAAGAAACATGTCGATGTTAGATCATTTTAATTATGGAACTTCTCGTAAGTCGTTAATAGCTCTAATTGTATTGACTAACGGTTTATTTTTACTTGTTTAGAATGGACGAACTAGCATTAAATGATTTGGGTACTTCAATTGATTTTGTTTTGAATCAAACTGGCAACGCATTACTAGCGATCTTGCTTAATGAACGACCGGAATTTAATGATAAAATTAAGTTATACATAGGTTTAGCTTCATCGTTATCTCTTAATAGAGTTTACCATCCCTGGCTGATGAGGTTGTCATATTTGATTGTAAGTATATGTCATAAATACTGAATCCTAATTATTTACAACTCATAACAGTCGATTAGCAAGCAGTTGGGTTTGTACGAATTTCCCCCGATGCTTAATTACGTAAATAATTTTATCTCTCTAATTTGCGACAATAACAATAATATAGCAAATATAATATGTACATTTGGTATAGAGGTAAGCTTTGGACATGAAAAGTACATGAATAAGGTTTGTAAAGTTTCTAAAAGAAGCAATTGACATTTTCTTTTATTTATTTTTTTAGACCGCTTCAAGACCTTTTTTCGAACGGATATTAGAGGGAGTAAGTAACAAACATTTTGAGCATGTATTACAAATATATTTTTCTGGTAACTTATCAATAAGGAACCTCTTCATCTACTACTACTATTAAATTTTAGGTGGAAAATTAAGGAAATTTGACAATGGTATAAACGAGAACTTTCGGATATACGGAAATGTTCAACCACCAGAGTATGAAATAAATAAAGTTCGAGTACCTACAGCTGTTTATTATGATTGGTTTACTTCACGAGAAGTATAGTTTTTCACCAAAAAACTATATTTTCAATTTAATTTATTTTCTAGGACATTGAAATAGCCTTAAAATAATTACCTAATGTAGTTGATGATTATTTAATATGCTTAGATGAATTCAATCATATTGATTTTCTATGGGCAGACAACACCAAAGAGTGGCTCTACAATAGAGTTATTAATCTTATCGACTATTATAGTTAAAGTGTTTAAATTAAATTATTCATCTTAGTAATTAAACTATTACCAAATATTATTCATATTCTATTTTTGAAATTGGTTTTAATAAATTATTTTTATTATTGAAAAATCTTTATGTGGAATAACTTATTTATTGAGCTGCAATTTGCATAGCTCATTCTCATTAGAAAAATTGTGGAACGAAAATAAATATACATTATGTTTCCTGTAAAACATGCTTCATAAAAATCAAACATCTTTGGAGTTATTCAATATAAATTATATTTTTGTGCATTAATACATGCGCCGGGGATCACAGTTCAATTGAGTAGAATAATAGATGTAATTATACAGTTTTCAGTCTAATAAAGTTGATAATTGGAATTGACACTTTATGAAATACGCCCACCTCAAAATGCAATATGTAAATAATATAAACCGCAACCATTCCTCCTTACTATATAAAGTGCAAACCTTTTACAAATTTTGTTGTAATTTCCATTATTTCCATTAGAAAATGTTTCCTATCACAAAACTATTAATGAAGGCCACTTTAATTCACCCGCTTGAAACTGCGAGAAAGTATCAATTACTACAAACATTTATGTTTTTAACTGTGTCAACCATCCACATGATTTACATTCTCAAATTGTATTATGTAGCTGGTGAAGATATGTTAGTGTACATCGAAGCCACTGTATCAGCATGCACATATATACAAGTATACAGCGTTCTTTATAAAAGTAAAATATAATTACTAATTATATTTGATTTCAGGGATATTTCAAGATGTATATGTCGGTTTCATTTAAAGATGAATTATATTACATGCTTGATAAGCAAAAGTATTTTTGGCCAACACCCAAAAACTCGTCAATCTCATGTTCTATTCAATTCAGAAACGGCCATCAAATTTTTATTCTACTCCATCTTATTCCTTGATTGCTGCTTATTCGCAAAGCCGCTATTCTTTGCCAACGACTATTTGTTTTCAATGTATAGACCCGAGTCCTATGGACTCTACATTGTTTTGCTGATGAGCCAATTCTACATAACAATCACTGGATCTTTCTCGATACTCGCTTATGACGGTCTGTTTGTGGATATTTGTGCACAGGTGATATTGCAATTCAAAATGTATGTATATGGAATTGGCACAATGCATTAAACATCAAAGATTTTTAAAAAAGTAAGCAACTTTTTGTGAATGATATGAGAATTATTAGTAAAATCATTGAATTTTAGTTATTGGTCCAGAATACAAACTGTTTATAAATATCCTTATTTTGGGATTTATATAGTAGTCATGATTACCATTTGCATGGAGCTATATATCACCCAATCAAAGTAGAAGTAAGAAATTTTGAGATCAACAAAATAAAATATTGAAATATGTATTATTAAAGACATATGCTTATTTTCGGTAATAATTCAATAAGTTATAAATACCCTAAACATTATTCCCACAATAAAAGATCCCAATAAATTTAAATAAATTATATGTATTTCCTAACAATAAAATGTGCTAGCGTTAATTTGTAAGCTATAAATACAACTGAAGTTAACCTACGACGACAGTCACACCAACAAATTAAAAGGAAAAGTAATGGCAAAGACTTCCATTGGTAACAAATGTCAATAGAAATGTCACAGAAATTATACCTATGTTCTATAAAATATACATTATGTTTCGTGCAAAACTTGATTTATAAAAAACGAACAAATTTGGAATAAAACAATGTTAATATTGTGTGTATATTATATTTGTGTGTATTAGAACACCTGGTGGCGATTACAGTTCAATTGAATAGATTAATAGATTATACAGTTTTCGGTCGGATAAAGTTGATAATTGGAATTGAAACTTTACGAAATACGCCCACCTCAAAATGCAATATCTAAATAATATAAACCGCAATCATTCCTCCTTACTATATAAAGTGCAAACCTTTTATAAATTTTGTTGTAATATCCATTAGAAAATGTTTCCAATCACAAAACTATTGTTGAAGGCCTCTTTAATTCACCCCCTTGAAACTCCGAGAAAGTATCAATTACTACACACATTTATGTTACTAACTGTGTCAACCATACAAATGATTTACATTCTGAAATTGTATTGCGTAGCTGAAGACATGTTAGTGTACTCCGAAACCACTGTATCAACATGCACATATATACAAGTATATAGCGTTCTTTATAAAAATAAAATACAATTACTAATTACATTTGATTTCAGGCATATTTCAAGATGTATATGTCGATTTCATTTAAAAAAGAATTACATTACATGATCGATAAGCAAAAGTATTTTTGGCCAACGCCTAAAAATTCGACAATCTCAAGATATGTTCTATTCAATTCAAAAATGGCCATCAATTTTTTTTCCTACTCCATGTTATTCCTTGATTGCTGCTTATTCGCAAAGCCGTTATTCTTTGCCAACGACTATATGTTTTCAATGTATAAAC